AAATCCATAATAGAGAGGGGGAGATTAATATATATATGTTTTTTTAAAGGGGGGGTGGGTTCCCAGGGAAAATTCAGCACGGAGTCTTGTCACTCGCCCGATCCTATATAAACCCCCCCCCCCTCTATACTCCATCGCAGGCTGGTAAACGACTCCTCCGGGGTTGTGTGGGTTGCGTGTGTCCCTTTCCAACAACTCATAGCCTCCCCCCCCCCCACATTTCCCAAAGCGGCAACTGCCGCCACCACATTGGGGCCCCTTGGATGCCATTGTTGTCTTGGGTGACATCAGTATCTGTGGGATGGATGGTGAACTTAAGTCTTAAGAAAATATTCACAGCAAGCTGAGGTCATCCTGGGTGGCATCAGGGAGAAAATTCAATCGGGGATTTCTGGCCCAGTAAACCAACTAGTTTTTATTCACTGACCGTATCTCAGAAAGAGTCTGAGGGCTGACATGCTGACCTAGTCAGAAGAGATAAACAACGTCCCACAGGTGGCTTCATCCAAAAGATTCTGGTGTCCAGCTGAGTGGTCTACTTTTTCCTTTGGCTTGCCATTATGGCCTTTCCTTGCCTTGAGGTAGGGGGAGCTGAAAGCTCACAAACTGTGTTCTGTTGTTGCTCGTAGCCATGAAAGCTTTGCTGTGGCCGTGGATAATTGATGGCTTGCAAATAAAATCACGTATCTTCAATGTGCTCGGATTGCTTTAGGTGAGAAAGGTTTTGGAAATAACAAGCAAGCGTTCCTGCGAGGCTCTGCGAAGCACTGGCTGCCTGGACCGCTACAGAGGGAGTTACGATGGAGAGCAAGGGAGCAGAGACGAGAGGCAATAATAGCAAAAAGAAAACAAAGAGGAAGAAATGATTGTGGTTGTAAACTCGGTGCAGATGTGATGGGAGGAATGTGCCAGAAGCAGCACTCTGCCAGCTAGCATTTTGCAAAATGCAGCAATTTCAGGGGAAGCCGATTTAAGGCAACAAAATCCTCTTCTACTTGCTTTGATTAACAACAGTGGCTTCAAACCACGAGGAAAAAAACAGGTCAATACGTAGAGCAGAGGGAACAAACAAGGCGATTTAAAGTCTTCATGATCCAGAAGGATAGACAGTAGAGATCAAACGTGATCCACCAGAAAAGGACATGGATTCAGTTTTCAGCCAAGAAAATCAGGTGGAAACTATCAATACAATCCCTCCCAAGTCAGAAGGCCTCCAAGGGGCTTCCGATGTGGCTGGGTTGAGGTGGGAACAATGCCCAGAGCAAAAGGACAAAAACAACATGGCAACACCACCTTATCAGTTCAATACGCATTTAAAAAAATGAGATCTAATTGTAGGTTAAAATGCTAAAGTTGAACACAAAAAAGCTTCCGGCATAATAAGAAAATTTGGTCTTACACAAAACAAAGCACAAAGCATACAGGTAGTCCTCAACTTATGACCACAATTGAACTCAAACTTTCCATTGCTAAGCAAGGCAATGAGTGAGTTTTACTGCATTGTATGACCTTTTTGCCACAGTTAAGTGAATCACGTGGCCGTTAATCATCTGGCTTAAAGTGAATTGTGGTGGTTAAGCAAATGTAGCAAATTCCCCCATTGACTTCGCTTGTTGGAAGCCGGCCGGCTCTCAGGGCTCCACGTGGTTACGAATGGTGGTGGTCGCATGACCTCAGGACAGCGCAACTGTCACAAGTACGTGCCGGTTGCTAAGCGCCCAAATTTTGATCATATATCCATGGGGATGCTTTTAATGGTGGCACATGTGAAAATTGGCCATAAATCAATTTTTTCAGTGCCACTGTAACTTCACTCAATGCAGGGTTTTAAGTCAAGTCCTGTCACGGATATTCAAGTTGTAAGGCAAACACATTCTTCCAGGGCCTTCTGGCTCCGGAGTCACCTGCACGTGGGGAGAGCCCCTCTCCAGAGCCGCCCCCACAGCCTGCCCCCCTGTCCCCCATCTCTGAGCACCAACAGGGC